CGGCAGGGAGATGCCGGGACAGGCTGAAGAGCAAAACGTGCCCTCGCTCGATGCCGAGGCGCTATCTCCTGCGCGCAGCGGTGGATCTAGCGGACCGTGAAGTCTATCGCAATTATATCAATGGCCACTGAGCAGGGCAATTATGCGCCTCGCGTCAAATTGAAACCAATTTACAAAGCGAGCTTTGAAATTACCTGCCCGAACGACCTACAATCCCAAGCTGAGCCCATTTCTGTGCATTATTATCCAATCCCTGAAATACACGCCAGGCTAAACGACATCGAGGAAAGACCGATATATAAACCCACGCCACAACAAAGGTGAGTTTCTGCCCAAGTCCAATGACATGCGTCACGCATATATGTATTTGCACACACATGTGTGCAGCAAATCAGGAACCGTCAATGTTCAAAAGCAAACCAGAGCTCTCCTATGCAAGCGTTAGCTTGAATGGCACAAATGGCAGGAGAAGCATGTCTGGTGGAAGATGCTGGACTAGCTCTTGCTCCTCGCCAGATGTTCAGTTCTTTCCTGGCGGACACGGCACTCCGATAACCAAAATTGCTCGCTGATCGAGAATCATCGAGTCAATGCTCTGCTCGCTTCTTTGTCCCTGTGGCTACCTGAGATTTGTTTTATTCGCCTTGTAAAGAAAGTCAAGGTCGCGGTGATGAATGAACATGTTCTTTGTTAGCTGCTTTTTAAAAATCGGTAGCTACTAATTCATGTTCATTGCTGGGCGGATTTACACCCGCGTGCAAACACAATGGATCAATAATTTAAATGGGAAACAGGTATCTTCTTTTAAGAAAGACAGAAAGAAAAAACAACAACCCTAAAGGAGGAGAGATTCGCTAGACAATGCCTGGAAGTGAAGTAACAGGTTAGCACAGGCGCTGGCTGTCTCAAAATGCCCGTTATTTCTCTGTAGGTATGGCAGGGACCACAACTGATTTTAAGAAAAAAGATCCAGATCCCGAAAAAGGTTCCCAAAAGCTTGAAAAATCGGATGTGGTTTAGAGGACACTTACCAAGGGGACGAGCGGACCACTCTTACTCCCAGAGTCCAGGCAGGCAAGGCGACTCTAGCCGGGGAGCGACTCGCCGCTTATAAACTCCGCCAGAAACGACGTCGGAATACCAATCGCGCCGCGGAATTTAATGCCAGATGACCTTTTTTCCACAAGTACTCGGATTTTCTTTTTTAAAGCGTGAATCGCCGGTTGATCTGCTTCGACGCAGGCATGAGTCACAGGGCTGCCGCCACCCCCTCCGCGCCGCGCCGTGCCGTGCCGTGCCAGCCCTGGCCTGCTGCTGCGGCACAGCCTGCCAGGCAAGCCGCAGTCTAGCCGCTGCCCTCGGGCCCTAAGCGCAGCAGGTGCGGAGCGGCCCGCGCGGGGCCGGGGTCGGGGCAGGGCACCCCACTCGGGGTCTCTCCCCCTTGCCGTCCCCTGCTGACATCCCGCAGTGCCCTGCGGAGCACTGCAAGCGACGCCAGGAGGCAGCCCCTCGGTAACATTTACTTTTACTCGAAGTAGCCGGGTTTGCTAACCGGCGTTTGGTTTCTTAAAACATCTGCTTAAAGCCACCAAAGCCATTTGATCTTAACTTCAGCTTGGAGCATCTCTTCAGCCGCCTTTGTTCCGGCTTCAGCACTCCGCGCCTCTGCACACTGTGCTGGCCGAGAAATTAGTCAGGCGGGGTCCGTGTTAAGTGTAGCTTAGCAACACCCCACCGCCCCACCCCCCCACACTATGATGAGAATTTTATGTGCCCCATTCATTTATTCCCCTTTGAAAAACCTCCCAACTGGGGAGCAGCTCCCTCTGCGTGACTCTCCGCCAGAGGGTGGCAGAGACTCAAAGACCGGAGACCCTTTCCGTCTCCCCCAGAGACAAGGAACACCTGGATTTCTGTGACTTACCTTCAATATTTTCGTTAGGTTACGGTTTTATACCAGGCATCCTTTTACTAAAAATGGAAACATTAAGACAACCATTTTTTTCCCACTCCCAACAACCCCAAAATCTCACTGTGTTTCCCCACCCCACTCCCCAAAGATAATTTGCTAACACTTCGCAGTACTGACCGTGGTGTTACATTTCAACATGTCGAGGTAGCTAAATAGATGGCTAAAACAAACCCTGCTCGCCCGGAAGACACAGAAAGGGCTGGGAGGAATCTACAACGCGAATGGAGGAGGGAAAACAGGCTGATGGAGACAGAGGATGTCACCCCGTGCAGTGGATGCTGCGCAACCGGGACTGCTGACACTGTAACGATCAGCAGGGACATGTCCTTCTTCAAGGACTTGAGAGGAAGAACAAAAAGTTAAAAGCCCTTTTTAAGAGAGGAAACTGACCGACTGACAGCATTAAGTAGTCAAGACGATCGTCTTGCTGTGCAGGCCTACCGCCCAGCAACTGGAGGCATAATGACAACACTGAGAGCACAAAAGACAGCTTTTAAATACAGTTTTAAAGGTACTAATATCTCCAGCTATTAGTGCCGGGTCTGCACGGCTGAACAATCGTCTTGGCTACTTAATACTGTCAGCCTGTCAGTCTCCTCTCCAAAAAGAGTCTATTCTCTACAGTTTTAAAGGCAGTTTCAATCAATCGGGCAAAATGTTCACTGCAGAGTATGAGAAATAATAATTATGACTAATTGTCTCTATAATTGTAAATAAACATATTTGACTGTGGGAAATCGTGGCAGGACTGCAGTACAAAAAAGTCTCAAAAAATGAACCTGGGGCGGGAGACAGCAGCC